TAGTGTAAAGTATGCATTATGATTGAGAGACTGGAACTGAACGATGCTAGCTCAATCAAACCTACAGGCTTATTCCAAATATCCTCCAAATTTGGATGCAGTTAACTAAAGTATAGACAATAGACATGTCACTAAACCCTGAATTTGATTTAGGCCTATTTATATTTGAATTTCTAGTTTGAAACTGAAATCCAGTACACCTCTTTATTGTTGTTTACCAAAAGACAATAACATGAGATGTGATCTTCTTGTCCAGTGTAATCTCGTTTTGATTTGGAGTCACATATTAAAGCTTATTTCAGATTACTCTGGGCTGCTTTGTAGTGAGATACCTCGAAGAGTAATGGACTCATCCATTGCCACAGATGGATTCTGCGAGAATAAGGACAACGCGATGATTCATTTAAGATAACCATTTAAATTTGATATGACAGACTGCAGCGTAATTATGATAGTATTTGATAAAGTGTATTGCTTGTAAATGTGTCCATTCTTGGGAATGACAAATGCTTAGCTTTAGCCAGTTCCTTTATGAAGAAAGGAAATGTTATAACCCGTTAACATCCACTAGATGTCTCTGCAACACTGTGTTAGGTCCACACACCTCAAGAAAAGGATGAATGTATCTACACTTAATGATCAATAAGTGATATAATACCATACTATGCTCACTAAATGTCCTGCGGATTGCTGTTGACGATACACTTAATGTTGGACTGAACATTTGCAACACATTGTCTCTACACTGGGAGCGAAGATGTACGTATATAGGCTTCCCAACATTTATCTCATTGTGTCAATCGTTTTTTTGATTGAGACTTGAACTAAGCTCGAAATCTTTCTCTAGTAGATCCTACATGTTAGTTTCTCACAGCCTCTAATTCCCCTAAGTCTCAGCATTTCCTCCTGCCTTATAGAAAGGCTAAGACTTAGTGTAAGGCACTAAGAAAAGACATATATTACCTCTGCTTAAAACTATAACAATATTGTCTAGAAAGGGGCTTCATCATTCGTGACTCTCTTTCAATGCACCTTCAGTTTGAGATCTGCTCAATAGTTAAGTCCTTGAAGAGAAAGCAGCATTAGAAAAGCGTCCAATAGCATTTAAACTGCACCAGAGAAGTAACTGAAGGTGATGCTCAATTGTGTCCCTCATTTTAATTGGCTTAGGCTGATTCAAGATGCACAAATAGCATAGCGGCTTGCAAATTTAGAAAGAAATGGATGATGACAAAGGCAGTGAGCCTATCACTTGGCTGCTATAATGCACACTGTACATAAGTAAGTGTTTAGTTTAATGTATTCAGCATTTCCAGAACAAAAAACATATTGCATTTGATTCCAAGACAAATCTAGAGATGCTTTGGAAATGGAAAAATGCTCCGTTTCATCTCTTCCCCTGCCACTCCAGCGCTTTCTTCAATAACATTTGATCTAATTTTCTTTCCCATCCTTGGGTATTTCCCCACAGAAATGAAGGGATAGTGATTGCTGGGTAAGATTGGAGTGGATCTAATCTTCCACTGCTCTCAGTCATACTCCATTTCACTGCACATCTAATTTGTCACACTGCTGATGAATATGCCACAAGTTTCATGGGAAAGAGAGAAGGACATAATGAATATAAAACACACTGGGAGAGAGGAGAGGCAATTGTCGTACCGCGCTAACCACAATGCATTGTTCATTTGTCCTACCAAATTGCTGACACTATGCATGCACTATATTGCTTTCCGCCCTCCAAATATATCAAGAGGTTAAAACAATGACAAACAAAGGTCGGATGGCTTATAGGCGGACGCTCCTTCGGTCATATGCAATCATTGGGTCACCCTGTTTGTCAAAGGTATGCATACAACACCCCCCTCAATGCTGTGCTCCCCACTATAGAAATGCTTGAAGAGAGGCATGCTTGTACTGCTCATATGGAGCCACATTTTGAGGCAGCTGTATTTTACAGAGATACATTTGCAGAAGGTTTTTAAATCCATTATTGCAAAGCAGAAAGTACCATAGTGTTGTATCTCATGCCTCAATTGAAGCACTGTTTCATCACAAGCTTTAAAAAGGCATTAACATCGAATTAAAAAAACCCAAGCAGATGGTATGAATTGCATCTGCATAATTATATTCTAATTTCATCATTACTCATTATTACTCTGGTTGTGATTGCCAGGGCGCTGAGACACTTGGCAGCGGTCCAAGTAGCATGCAACAAAGTGAATAGACAGGGTCAACAATCTGTTCAAATGTTTCCTGGCAACCAGATTTCTTTGTGTTCAAGGCAGCAATTTGAAAACAGTAAAAAGTTGCTTTTCAAAGTTGCCCACTACAGAAATGCAGCTACGTAACTCAGCAAATAAGAGTGAGAGACAGATTTGAAAACTGATTGTATGAAGACATTCTAAAGCGTTCTGTCCATCATGCTTGTGCTAAATTCATTGAAGGGCTGAGAGTGAATGTCTCTTTAAAAAAGGGAGATGATAGAATCTGTGAGCAGAGCTGCTGCATCACCTATCCATGAGACTGGAGAGCGGCTGATGAGAAAGCCCTTCAGGACTCTTCTCTAAATAGGCATGAAATGATATCTCCCTCTGACTGAGATTAGCGTCCATGGAGCCTCTTGCGCTCTGCCCCCTCTTTTCCTCAGGCTCTCCAACCCAACGGAGCGCTTTGCAGTTTCAGCTCGTTTGTGTTCAAGTTTAAGAAAGTTCATTTTCATCAGGAGGTGCTCTCTGTGTCCTTCATCTTTCTTTGTGTGGGTCCCGCAGGGTTTTTCACAAGTTCTGATGGGATCTGGTAAACCATAATAAAATGTGGAAATAATAATATTCAAGGAGGTATATGATACGTTGTACAAAACTTGATTGATAACCTGATATGTGATTTTCATTTTTTTCTAAAGAAAGTTATACATAACTTATATAGGAACATCTAAATTACATGCAAAATCACAAACATCGTCATGCTAAAGGAAGTCTCTACTGTAAAATCTATTCTTTTACCCTTGGCTATTCAATATGGACCATATGGGGAAAAAATGAGTGTTGCTCATAGTAGTGAAACCACAGATTTATCACCAACTATACACTACCCTTCAGCTCTTTGGCATCTTATAGCTTCTAGCTTATTGTTTTTTTAACTGTTTTTGGCTCACCCTCATCATGCTACCTAGACTGTTAAAGTTAGGGGCCACCTGGTCAAGATCATGGAACATTTAGCAGCTAAAACCATAGATACTTAAACTCAGGAGTTGGAGGAGACCATAAACAGAGCTACAACGACGAGAAATTCCAAATGTAATTCTATGTTTTAGTTTTAAGGAAGACCCAATCATGATGAGGCACTGTCACAGAGGTAGGTCCATGCTAGAATATTCTTGTAATGATGGATGGAGATGGGTTGAAGGGATGACTGTAGACCAGTTAGGCGGCGTGGCAGTGATGGCGAAGAGAGTAGATTGGCAGGCAGGAAAACTGGTAGCTAACAACGAGCAAAGGATAGCATAGCATAGCTAGCACACTGGCAAAAAGAGTTGGAAATTAGGTGGGCTTGATTAGAGAGGCGATGAGCTGATCAGGGAGGCTGTGGCTCAGTGGATAGTGTGCTGGACTTCGAATCAGGGGATAGCAAGTTCAAGTCCCACTGCAGTCAGCATGTCGTTGTGTCTCTGGGCAAGAGACTTCACCCCAAATTGCTCCTGTGGGGATTGCCCACAGTATTGAATGTATGTAAGTCGCTTTGGATAAAAGCGTCCAACAAATGTAATGTAATCACAGGCAGGTGTGCAGAAATACGGGAAACACATACTCAAATGTTGGCAAAAAGGGGACAAGTTCGGGAAACACAAGGAAAAGGCATGCTAATGTTGCTCTGTGTTTGTTGGATGTATATTAATCATCCGCAGGCTAATACTTTCCCACATGAAGTTAAAAGATGATGATATTTCTGTTTGGTAACCATAGCTTGTTTCCGCTGCCCCTAAGTCATTGGAAAATCAGTAATTGCAAGTTTAAAATGTCAGTCCACTATGAACCTTTTGCAGCCTTAGCACTCGCCTGAAAGCTGTCATTTGCAGCAGCCCCTTTTTATATTTATTAAAAAAGCTTTTATGAACCCCACCCCGACACAGCATACACACCTGTAGGCTCAAAAAGTTATTATTGTCACTCAATCCCTGCTCTACTCAGCTGGTTATATATTGGTACAGACACAAGAATAGAGCTTAGACACCAAATATGATCAATATGATATGATATTGTACATATTCAGCAATCAAACCTTGGATCAGAAGTTGATGCTCTTGGGGGCTTTTGTCTCGAATAAAGATTTGAGGTCCACTTCGAAAGTGTGCTTTTGACATGTTACGACATTGTTGACATTTAATAGAAATATCTTTCTCCCTTTATTTGAGTTTTGTAAAAGATTTGGGACTTAAAAGGACATGAATGCAGCTCTTTGAAAACTGGTGCAGTGTTGATGGCAGCCTGAAGACTGAGCCAGTTTCTATGTATCATGTTACTGAGGAAATTAGAAAAGCTAATAGCTCTGGATAATATCATGGTGTTCCAGGTGACACATTTATTGTATATTTTGCGGTCTGGTTAAAGGGGGGGAGTGGGAAGGGAATATGCAATCCATAAAATCCTGCAGAAGTGTTTTAGAATGTCTGGGCCATACCACGTTCTACACTTTCACAAATAATTGGGAGCTTGTGGTCGTTTGGTACTTCTGTTTTTATGTGTTTTGTAGTTTTGGGGGAGACTGGTGAACACTTTCTCATACATGTTTGCTGCTCCCTGTGAACCATACAGTTAGATCATGAAAGCATCTCTAAGCTCACCTAATGTAGAGGTCTTATGGACTTATTGAAAATGCTAGGTTGTGATGCAAATGGATCCAAATGAGTGAAACACGAGCAGAGAAACTTATTTCATACCATATGCCAGATATGATAAATATTTTATTTCTGATCAGCAAAAGACACACAATTGATGCATTTGTATCTTTCATGACTTTTCAGTACAGAGGAAAAACCCAAACATATACACAGTATGGGTATATATGTATATGGGTATATTTTAAAGTGCAAGTGATTCACAAGGGTCAATCATGCGTTACATAGCATCTGTATCAGGAACTTCAGTAACATCCTTAAATCCTCTATATGCTTTTTAATCTGATAGTAAAATAACTGTCACTTATATATATATATATATGAATACAAAATAAACTTTACTAGTCACTGAAGCTTTGTGATTTAGTTTTAGCACGACATTTATCTATTTCAAGTCTTGAGAGGAAAGAGTACCATGACGTGTTAGAAGCGAAGGAGACTCTCGTCTCTAGTGTTGACAGGAAAACAGTTTCACAAAACTCACCATGGGTCGAATTGAATAGTGCTCCAATACCACCTTAAGCACCCTTTACTTGAATTTAAATCTAAAAACGCAACTAATACACTTTTCTCTCTTTTTTTGTTTTTTCTAACAGCCTTCACGGGTCACCTAACTCGGGCATGTCCTCGTCGAAGCAGACATTCAGTATACAGGTACATTCTCTGAAATTACCATTACATTTAATCTGGTGAGGAAACAGTCAATTTGCCCTTGCCAAACATATTTGACACGAGGAAAGTTCATAAAAAAAATAAAATGTGAAGACACGGATAGACAATCAAATGCTTGAATGTGAGTGTGGACTGATGCTGAGCTCACTGTGTGTTGACAAACCAGAGCGGGCATATGGACAGACTCAGACAGAGAAACAGTTTAGCAGCAGCTGTTGGGTTTCGGATTTACCCATGGACAACAAAGATACAGACATATGTATCAATAGTACATGAAGAAGCCCTGGCCCTTCAGGATGCAAAATATAACGGATTTTCATACACTGGGAAAATAAAACATGTCTCAATGGCACATGTGCTGAATGTTTCAATGCCCTTTATAGTGGTTAAGATGCAAAGTGCATATTTAACATACAATATTAAGCTAGGATATACAACAGTGTGACGATAGCTCTTAACCTCCCAAGTGATTCCTTCAGAACTGCGCTCCTTTTGCACCAAATGACACAAAATAAATGCTCATATTCACGGAACAAAAAAAGAAACGGAAAGTAATATAGAGGAGCACTGCCTTCACACTGTGAGTGAGTGACATGAACGCACACACACTGATGCTTTATTCAGACAGCATGAGCTTGCACTGAATGAAATAAAGGTCCATTTCTGTGTTGCTGTGAATCCTTTGTATGTGAGATTATTGCATAGTTTGGAGTTCTTAACATAGCTTTTACTTTGACACTGACATCTCTGTTTCTGGTCTGCGCTGCACTCTTATTGTCAAGGACAATGTAGGAATAAGTTTCTGAAATAAAATCTTTATTACATCATTTTGTTATACAACTATTTTCAAGGTTTTAAACTTTGAAGAATGGGTGTTTTCAGAGTGAACTAAACCCAGCCCTGGTTTTCACATAAATCTCTACATTGCATTTTCAATGTGCACGAACATTTGCAATTTGCTGCCAAGCAAAAACTAACATTAACCATTGAACGTTTTAATGACATTGTGGCTCAAAACCCCCATCTTTCTACCAGGTACAGATAAAACAAACACCAGCATAAAGTGACTGTGGCTCTGATCTGATCTACTGATTCGGAAGGATTGTCTCAGTCTCTGAATGCCATGCAGTTTTATCTGAGAAAATGTCCAGCTTTCATGTGATGTTTTTGTATGAGACTTGCCAATTGGATAGAGTCTACCACTAACATAAGCTTCTTGTTTCTGTGATTTGAACCGATAACCACAAACATGTGATAATCTGTGCTGCAAAAGTGGATTTAGGAATTTTTTTTTAATGTTAGCTTCGCCTACTTCATATTTTACGTTGTGTTGTTGAAAACCAAGGGTCCAGGGGCTTTAAAAGCTTCTTGACCAAGAGCCAAAGTAGATACAGACACCACAGTATGTATTCCTATCATGCATGCGACTATTTCTCTTGCATCTTTCCCATATCTGTCTCTACTCTATAATAACAGAACATACACATTAAAACAATTAAATACAAAAATAAATAATAACAGGAAAGAAATGCGAAGAGAAGCACCGCAAACTTGGGCGTAACAATCAAAAGACTTGATGCTGGTGTTTGTTTTACTGTGATTCTACCTGGTTACTCCTCAATAGCAGCTGCAATGGCGGCCTTTTTTTTTTTCAACCAGAAAATGTGTCAAAATGAAGCTATGGTTTTGTTGTGGTCCCTTATAACACCCATTAAGTAGATCCCCTGACTTGAATGACCAACATTGTTCCCCTATGGCCAGCACAGAGTCATGACATGGGTCCCATTCAGTCACCAGAGTGTCAGCTCACTTCTCTTTTTGGCATAGAGCTCATGTTCAAATAGGAGCCATGACTGAACTGCTTTTTAGTTTTAAATCTGTAAACTAAGTAAAACTAAAATAATGCAATTAAATAATATAGTAGGAAAATAAATATCATCCAACAAGGCTTTTTTTTTGTTTTAAATATACACTCTTAATCTTGACACTGGAAGTCAGTGTGTATGTCAGGGTATTCACCTCAGAGAATCATCAGTCTAAGAAGATGGCTGCTCTCTCATCGGTGAAGGCATGGATCATGGATACAGATTCCTCTAAACATGGTCCCATATATATCTCAACAGTCATATGCATTACAAGTGGATACTAGATATACACAATGGATTTTTTTCTGACAGTTAGACTTGGCCACGACCTGGACATGTGTAGGATGATGATTTGAAACACATGGCTGCATCCGCTATCAGAAAAAAACTATAAGATACTATTTTGGTTTTTCATGAATAGCATTCAGGGCAGTTATACGTTTTTTGGTCAGTTTAAGGTTATCATTAAAACCTCTACAAACCTCACTCCGTATGAGCTCTTTTAGAGGGCTAGCTATGGCTGTCTCAGATAACTTACAGTACATTTTGACTGTTATGTTAGTCAGAAAATAGATATTAAACTCATTTCCACATCTCATGCTCACAATTTGACTGGCCTCACTGCTGAAATATTTAGATACATCTACCAATAACTCCCCATTCCTATAAATGAACTACTAATAATCCAACTACAGATCTCTATTCATGAATAAATGTCGGGATAATGCGATTTTTGTCTTTTTAAAATATGGACTTGTGCACTAGAGGTGTGGACCACTATGGCTGTTCTTTTTTTATCTTTTTTTCTTTGCATCAAAATACTTGTTAAGGGTTTCATCTCTGTGGAGGAGGTGAAGAGGACCATGTCGCACAGATGCAACAGCCACATGTTCAACACTAAACTGTGAGCGGACTCGATGGAAGGGGGATTTCTCTCAAGCCTAAAGTGTAGGATATACAATATAACAACAATCAAACTCTGATATCAACTCTATGGGCGCTCCGGCATTCCCTAGAGGTGCACGTTTCTGTAACTTCCAGTCTAAGCGGAGGAATGGACTCTAACACCCCTAGGGAATAGAGGAGCTTTCATTAAGTTTTTGAGGAGTGTGTGGAATTTCTGAATCTGAGTTAGGAGTTGTCACTGGCAGAGCGTTTTTTGCCAAAATGACTGGCAGAGTCTCTGTTTCGCAGATTAGGCTGGATCTTGTACATGTGGGGACCCATGGACCAGCGCCAGCTCCCACGGCTCTCCACTCCAGTGGGGATGGCGGCAGCTGCAGCCACAGCAGTGGATGGGCAGGGCTTGTTCTGCAGCAGCTGAATAAGCATGGTCATCTCTGGGCCCAGCCGCGACACCATGCTGGTCCTAACGCGCTCCACTGTGTCCTCATCACAGTCCATCAGGCTCTGTAGCAGCTTACCATAAAACCTACGGAACAAAAACATCCCAGATTGTGAGGATCGAAAAGAACAAATAAGAACAGCAGGGCTCTTTAGTTAATTGCGTCTTGTTCTACCTGCTTACAGTTATGACTTTGTATTTCCACACATGCTCTATAGTCTGATGTCATCCATATGGGAGTGACCTTCCCTTCTCCAGTCACAACTAAGCCTTGTGCTAGCCCTTTTGTATCCACTCCCAAACTGCAATCCCACATGTAACAATAGGAACAAAAAACACAAACAACTCGATACTCCTGTTTCATTTCTTTCTTTGTATGAAAGAATGTATGAAGCAGATGGTAACCAAAACATGGAAATCAATACAAATGTGGCCATTTGTTATGCTGCACAAATGAAGAGGACATTTGGTATTTGCAACAAGACAATCATGTATATTTGTGATTCAAAAATATGTCTCATTCACTTAAAACTAGCTACACTGACAGTCTGATTACTGGAGAAATAAACTATTGCTTTAAAATCTACTCTGTGGTCAAAGAGCCTGTTGAACATCATCAGCTTCAAACTCTGACATGCCGATTGACATACAATGTGTCCTCATAACCTTAATCAAGTCGTGTTTTGTTTATATATTAGAGGAAGGGCTCACCTATTGGGGAAGTGACTTGGTAGCTGTGCCACTTCTCCAATAGCGTCTGGATTCGATCGGGCAACAGTGCAGATATCCAGCTTGCTGTAGCACTCCTCCTGGACTTCGGAGATCATTCTTTGGAAGGTGGAGCAGCGGCGGATGGTGGGGAATGCCTTCGATGTGATGCCATTGGCAATGCACTTAAGGCTCTCCTTCACAAATGCTTTACCCTGTAAAAACACAGCAGCGCTTTACACATTCTTTCCCTGACAGTTACACCCATGTAATCCTATACACACCGGTAGAAATAGAAGTCATTGTGAGATGAATTAGAGTGTGTACCTGAGTGTCAAATTTAGCAGCACTGTATAGGAAGGACTTGCAGATGTCATGCATGCCATCTGTGTCACAAGTTGAGTTTTCCAGGCAGGCGAAGGCTCCGCAGCCAACTTGGAGGGCACTGTTGAGACAGCGTGCCACATCTGCTGTGGGCACAGAGAATGAAGCATCAGCAGGGGAGCCAGCAGTGGGTGCACTGGGAATAACTGCACACTCTCTGAGCTCATTACACAAGGGTTGCCAGGGTTTCAGCTAAAATATGTGGCGGACAAAGGAGAAATGTCATACTTTGGTGATTCACAAAAGACATACAGTCACTTGGGGCAAATAGTGACTTGACTGGAGACTTGGACACCTTACAACGCAGAGAGTTTCAGACACTATTTGGCACTAAAACGCTTTTCTCTTGGCAAGGACATATATTCCACTGTTTGGTTCTATTCAGCAGAGCTTGGATGAACTGCACCAGAAATACCAAAGACTTTACTGAAAATTGTTGGCGTGCCTGTAGATTCACACAAACATACACTTGTACCACTGGCTCACACACACACACACACACACACACACACACACACACACACACACACACACACAACACACACACACACACACACACACACACACACACACCACACACACCACACACACACACACACACACACACACACACACACACACACACACACACACACACCATGTATACATCACTTCAGGGGACATTACATTGACTTACATGCATTTCCTGGAGACTTATCCTAACCTTAATCATAACCAACACATGCCTAACCCTAACCAAGTCTTCACCCTAAAATTAATGACTCCAATTTGTCCCCATAAGGGAAGCCAGTCCCCACACGTGACTGTGTAAACAGATTTAGGTCCCCACAAGTATAGTAATGCTAGACCACACACACACACACACACACACACACACACACACACACACACACTCACACACACACACACACACACACCACACCACACACCCACACACACACACACACACACACAGCACACACCACACACACACACACACACACACACACACACACACACACACACACACACACACACACACACACACACACACACACACACACACACACACACACACACACACACACACACACACACACACACACACACACACACACTTCCACCAGACTCTGTCTTCAAGCTGAATTTGAGGACTCTGCTGTAAACCACTTTAACATTTTTCACTAATAACCAAGCACTGTCCTATTAAATATCCAGAATGTATCCAATAAACATATACCACATTAAATACATGCTGCCATATTAATGTCAGTAGCCTCGCAATAACCGGAATAGTTATTAGGCTGATTAACCCACAAGTAACCCTGATCCCCATCTTTGTAAAACCAATGAAAAAGCTACCCTGCAACATCACTCAGTCATTATCCAAAAACTAATCTTGGCCATAAGGAACACAGTCTTAATTCCATGCAACCGACATGAAATGTTACACCAGTAATGGGCTATACACATAATCTGTAAATCAGTGTGTCCAGTTAGTTGGTTTTCCTTATTCCTCATCCAAGAATCCATTGAGATTGCAAGCAGCCTGACTCAAATCCCTCGTAATAACCATTAAGAAATGTCACCGCGGAGCCTAAGCCTACTTGGCAGACTTTGAATCTGGGGCCCCATGTTGACCTGCATAGTCAGATAAAGTCTGCCTGCCATCAGGGACCAGATATTTCTCTCAATATACAGAGAATGAGCTGCGAATCTTATGGTGATGAAGCAATTCCTGCAGAAGGGAATCAGCATCCCTGTCACCATGCACTGGGCTGTACCTTTTGTGCTAAAAAAGGAAGTCATGTTTTAAAAAGCCATGCAGAGTCATGCTTGATTATGATTATTCCAAGGGATTATGACTCATGTCATTATTTGTATTTGATTGAACCATGTGGACTAACAGGGTTGTATTCAATTGTATTATGCACAGCCCTAGTGACAAACAATGTTAAAAACACACTATTGTTCTGACTTGAAGGCTGTACATGAAGGCTACATGGGAAGCTTTATGTTTTATGCACTGAAAAATCCCTATAATGCTTAATAGTAAGACCTATGCAGCAAATGAGAAGGAGACTACCAGCATGACACAGCCTGCTCTCAGGTATCAGCTCCAAGCTCCATGCTCATCTGTTGCCTGCAGGACACCGGCGAAAACCACAGCGTTAATCCCGCAGCCTTCTCCATGAATCAACGCACTCGTTTAGACAGAAAAGGCTGCATAGGCCAAAATAAATTACGAAAAAAACAATCTCCACATAGTAAACGAGCAAAGGTAAGCCTGTGCATTGTGGAAACGGTGTGTAAAAAAGCAAGCGGTGCACTCTGAGATATGCAGATGGAGGCAGCGTGTTACTTACAAGGGCTATTGGAGGAAAAGCGTGCTCTCCTGGGCGAATAAGACTCGTTTTGATCCAGTTCATATGCAGATGCGTTCAGCACCATCAGGAGAAAAAGTCCGGTCCTCAAAGGCATCGTCCTCTCAACACAGATAATACAACTAAATGTAAAGAGACGCCTCCTGCTCTGTGTGTAAATCATAAGAATAGCGCTCTAAAAAGCTTCTGCAGCACCGAAAACACACTAAACGAAGGCTATCACAAGTAAGCTTCCAGCAATGTCTTTACACTGGACTCCTCACTATGCTTTTGACTTGCATGACAGATAGCACCGATGTCAAGTCTGCATGGGTTTATATGGGAGCGCTGAACATTACGAGTGCTGCGTTTGGACCAATCAGGACGCAGGATTCAAGACCGTGGTCGTGGTCTTTCCACTACTAATTGATACAATCTTTTAACAGCGGCAAACACTGTGGATGATAAATATGCTCAACATGATAAAAGATGTCCATTAGCCTATCTATTATAATGACAATACAAAACTGAAAGGCTCACAAGGCTTTATATTTTTCAGTCAAAAGTTTCCCCTATATAAAACTTTGGTACCACTTTACAATAAGACTACCCGTATAAAGGGTTTACGAATAGTTTGTAATTCATTTATTAATTAGGTTGTGAACACTTTATCAATCATGAATAAGCTTTTATAAGACATGAGATAAACAGGACAACTGTGGCCGGTTGCTTGCCAAATAGTGAGCCCACTATCTGTACTTCTAAGCCTTATTAGAAATGTTAGTAACTCATTCATAAATGGTCATAAAGAGATGCCAAGAAACCTCAAGACGGATGGGGGGAATCAACTCTGTGAACAACAGATACCAAGGAAGCTGGCTGATGAAGAAGACGAAGTAAACTTGTGCCAATATAAGGCTTAGTCATCTTGCCAAATAGTGAGCCCACATTTATCTGTACTGCTAAGTCTTATATTGGCTACCTAGCTAACTTCGTCTTCTTCCTCAGCCAGCATCCTTGGTATCTGTTGCTCACTGAGTAGCCAATGTAAGGCTTAGTCATCTTGCCAAATAGTGAGCCTGTGTTGACGTATGAAAACTATGTTAGAACTGGTTTATAAATGGTTCTTAATGATTAATAAACTGTTTACAACCTAATTAATAAGCTAATTATAAAACCTTTGTGAATCCTTTATAAGGGTAGTCTTATTGTAAAGTGGTACCGAAACTTTTTTTTAAATGATTGCAATTATGGTGTGTTTCAAGCTTTTAGTGACTATATAATCTCCTCCTTTCCACCCACCTGTCCCTGTATCTTCATCATTGAAGTAACCAATCACCACCGTTATCACGTATTACTGTATAAAGTGATTTTTGGCTCGTATACAGAAATACATATCAACAGCCTCAATATTATGGATTACATTGTTTGAAGAAACGCATTTTGACTGGCAAGATGCTTCCATAAATAACTAAATAAAAAAAATATTGGGGTTCGGGAATGTATTTCTCCCCTCATCCCAGATTCATATTTTATTTATTTTAACTTATTGGTATAACAATATCAAATACAGTTACAAAGTACAAAAAGGTGAGCTTTGCAGGGGATAACCATTCTCTGTCTATATTAGAAATGTACTTTCCATCTACGTGTAGCTAGTAGGCCTACTACTAATTTGTTATTTAGAGACACACAGAAAGCATGAAGGTCTGTATATTCACTGCAGACAGAACAATATCTCAAAGGAAGAACAAAATGTGTCAATTGTTATAAAAAGTTAGTCTAAATACATTTAAAAAAAAAGGTGTTTAGCATCATACACTGCTCACTTTTTTCATTTCAAGTTCACAATCATACACACACACACACACACACACACACACACACACACACACACACACACACACACACACACACACACACACACACACACACACACACACACACAACACACACACACACACACACACACACACACACACACACACACACACACACACACACACACACCACACACACACACACACACACACACACACACACACACATTGTATTACATGCTCTAAACTTGTAGCTTCTTTTATACAAATGACCTTGTGTCTCTAAATCAATTTCCTAAATTTGCGCAGGGCTAATTTCATTAATGTGCATATTGGTGTCTGTTGTAAAACATATTTACTCCATTAAGCTTATTACAGTTTTTCTCGATTGCTAACACACCATTTTTTATTTTTTTAATTGCTCAGTTTCTCAGAACACTAAACACAATTCACAAAACCACACACCCAAAGTGCAAAACTCCTCATTTTTCCTGCTAAATGAAGAACTGCCCTCAAAACTACATAAACACTTACTTTTGGACCAAATACACTTCATTCATAATACTAGATGGTTTGACCACCCAACTACACACTGCTGAGCATCATCTAAAGCACTTTCATCTGTTATGGGCTATGCTCTGTCCATAGAGGGTTCTGCAGAGAAAGATTGCTTGAGTTTACAGAAATACAGTAAAGGAAGAAACACAAATGAGTTGTTGAAAAGAATCATATTTTATTCAAAAATAACATTGTGTAAAATGCATCTCAGCACATAGTTACAGTTGTTTCTGTAACGCAAAACAAAAATGATGCTTCTGTCAAATACAGTAGATAGAAAGAAAACTTAGAGTAAAAAAATATACAGAAAATATTTTTAGCAAAAAACAAAGGAAAGGAAAAAAGGCTTAGGCTGCATCTCGCCGCCTAGTAGGGTCTGGCCACAGCACCTCATCCACATCACAGGCGATGTTCTCCCTGGCTAAACAGCGCGGGAAGAAGCGTCTTGAGTGAAGTATCCAGCCCTGGATACTTCACGTCATCACATTCACATTCACGTCATCACATGCCTCCTCCATTGCCTGCAGAAGAGGCATGCGCTCATAGGGCCGACGGTCATACACCTTCCACCGCCATTGCCGAGAAGAACTCTTCAATTGGATTGAGAAATGGAGAGCAGGGTGGAAGATAGTGTAGGCGGAATTGTTGGTGCTCAACAAACCAGTTTTGGACTAAGCCAGCACGATGGAAGCTGACATTGTCCCATACCACAACATATCTAGGCTGCTCTGCATGATGAACATGGTCTGCCTGGGAGAAAAAATGTGGTGCAGTCTGTCCAGAAATGTTAGAATGTGGGCTGTGTTATATGGACCAAGGTGGGCATGGCGGTGGAGGACACCATTTTGTGTGATTGCAGCACATGTGATTGCCACCACGCAGGGGCGGACTGGCCATTGGGAATACCGGGAGTTTCCCCGGTGGGCCGGTGCTGTGTGTGGGCCAGAGATTTGCCTAAATCCTACCGGCCCACATTTGTAAGTGTTCCGGCCCAGCCCAGCCCAGTGGGGTGTGGCCAGGGTTGGGTTGTAACGGAATACATGTAACGGTGTTACGTAATCAGAATACAAAAATCAAGTAACTGTATTCAGCTCGCGTTACATTTGAAAAACGAGTAATCTGATTACAGTTACTTTCGTAAACCTGAAGTGAATACATTTTGGATTACTTATTGGAATTATTGGTGGAAAGATTTCCTCACAACATTTAATATTCATTACTAAAGGTACAGCCGAATCATCACAGCGCGCTCCTCTTCTCAGAGGCTGAGTTAACCCTCTCGCTGCCTCCTGGTGCTGCAGAGATTTCATGAAGTGAAGGAGGTTTTCCTTCTATAAAACAGATGTGGGCAGCAGATACTGTGAGAGTCACAGACATGAATACATAGATCAAGGCAGACTGGTGCACACACTCTCCTGTTTTGCCAATCCGGTGCTTAAACAAATATAGCTCTACACCCCTGGCCGAAATGTCCTTAAAATGAAGTCCGAGTTCGACATTTTAATTAATGTCCTGCCAACACTGGCAGGACAGAAGGCGACACACCCTTTCTAAGCCATGTCCTCACATCCCAAGCTGCATCCCCAAAAAGTTTATTATGTTGTTACAACAGGGTTCAGGGGGAGTGGCTGTACGGCTGTACCCGTAGGATAGAAAAGGGGGAAGTGACGTCTGACTCAGAGATCGCGCGGCTGTGGAGAAGAACGTGTTGCCCACATTCTGTTACTGAGTTTAGGCTAGTTAGCTAGCAGGTTTATTGTTTTGGGTGCAGTCACTTTGCCTCCACTTGCTGTTCAAATAAATGTTGAAAGAAAAAGTTAATCTGTTTACAGTTCTGTTTTATATGGGTGTTGAAGAAGAAGAAGAATTGGGAGGGATGAAACCCTCTTTAATGGTCACACATGCAGAGCACACAGCACACACAGTGAAATGTGTTCTCTGCTTTTAACCCATCCTAGTACCAGGAGTCTAGTACTAGGAGCAGTGGGCAGCTATTGTACAGCGCCCGCGGAGCAATGGGAGTGAGGGGGGAAGGGGGATGTCTGGTGCCTTGCTCAAGGGCACCACGGCAGGAGGTGAACTGGGACCTCTCCAAGTAGAAGTCCACACTCCAAATAGGTCTGGTCGGGGACTTGAACCGGCGACCCTACGGCTCACAGTCCAAGCCCCTACTGACTGCCATAGATTTAGTCCCTAATTTTGCTCTCAAAGTGCACCAGATTGATGCATTTAACTTCAACATTTAAAAAATAATCTTCCCGGGGGAGCTTGCCCCCGGACCCCCCTAGAGGAGGTGAGGTCCACCACCTGCCCACACCCCCTGTTAAATTGTCTCACCCACATTGAGGATGCTTCCTACGCCCATGTTTTATTCCATGTGTCAAGTCAGGCAAATTGGGTCCAAATGTTATTGCATCAATGATCTGTTAACATTAAAATCACTAAATATATGCTGTAACTATTTTGCTCTAGGCAACTCAAGGGCTCAGGTAATGTGATTACTATATGAATAATGGTCCAAAATAACATAAAATGCATAGGGTTTTTTGTTAAGTAACATACTTTCGGCGCCGGCCGGCCGATACATGCCGCGCATTAAGTGGGCCTGTCTGTCAATTAATCCCCGGGCCACTTTTTCCCCCCAGTCCGCCCCTGCCACCACGTTAGCGAGGGACATCTATGATGGCTCTGTGACCAATAATGTTCCTACCCCTTCTCCTGGTCTTTGTGAGGTTGAAGCCAGCCTCGTCAATACAAATAAATTCATGTCTGATGACATCAGCATCCATTTCCAGTACTCTCTGAAAACAAAAATTACCGTAAAATCAATCAAAGTGGTTTAAGACAAATACAAAAAAAATGGCTGTGCTATGTATGGATTACTGAATCAATGGTCTATTACAGTACTTTAGTCAAT